TGGCTCAATGGATAGAGCGTCGGCTTGGGGACTGAAAGGTCCCGGGTTCGATTCCGGTCAAGGGCATGTACCTTGGTTGCGGGCATATCCCCAGTAGGGGGTGTGCAAGAGGCAACTGATCGATGACTCTCTCTCATCGATGTTTCTAACTCTCTGTCTCTTTCCCTTCCTCTCTGTACAAAATCAATAAAATATATTAAAAAAAAAAAAATTTAAAAATCAATGGAAAAATATCTTCAGGTGAGGATTAACAATGAATAAATAAACAAAAAATAAATAAGATGGGCAAAAAACCTGGAATAGCACCTCACCAAAGAAAATATAGAGATAAAAATAAGCATATGAAAAGATGTTCAACATCTTATGTCATCGGAGAAATGCAACATAAAACGACATTGAAACATCTTTTAGAATCAGAATGACCAAAATCCAAAACATTTGGTCGATGACACCACCGAATGCAAGAGAGGATGTGGAACAACAGAAATTCTCATTCATTGCTGGTGGGATACAATATGGTACCGCCACATTGGAAAACAATTTGGTGGTTTCTTACAAAACTATACCGTATGTGCCAGCAGTCATATTCCTTGGTACTTACCCAAAGGAATTCAAAACTTATCTGCACCAAAACCTGCGCATGGATATATATAGCAGCTTTCTCCATAACTGGCAACGCTTGGAAGCAGCCAAGATGTCTTTCAGTAGGTGAGTGGATAAAGTGTGCTACATGCAGATAATGGAAAAGCCATGAAAAGACACGGAGGAGCCTCAGATGCATATTTCTAAGAGAAAGAAGCCAATCTGAAAGGCTACTGTATGACTTCAACTATATGACATCTTGGAAAAGGCAAAATTATGACTCCAAAAAGATCAGTTGTTGTTAGCGGTTAGATGGGAGGGAGGGGTGAACAGAACACAAAAGATTTTTAGGGCAATGAAGCTATTCTATATACCACAATAGTGTATACATGTTATTGTACATCTGTCAGAACCCACAGAATGTACACCACCGACAGTGGAACTACTGTAGACCATGAACTCTGGATGATAATCATTTCAGTGTGGGTTCATCCATTGTAACAAAAGCACCACTCTGGTAAGCAGATGTCAGAAGTGGGGAAGGTTGTGGGTGTGTGGGGACAGTGGATACATGAGAACCGACTGTACTTTCTGCTCAATTTTGCTGTGAACCTAAAACTCTGAAAACGTAAGTTTATTATTTTTTATTTAAAACAGCAAATTTTAAAAGTTCAATTGTCTTTCTGCACACTAGAAAAGAACAATCAGAAATTGAAATTAAAAATATCATTTACATCCACAAGTATGATTTCCCCCTTCCGCATACCTTTATGGGCAAATCTGAGTTAGAGATAGGTTTAACAAAAAATCACATTATTGAGAGTTACTTAACACCTAAAGAAATAGTGAGGTCTACTTTATTCAAAGGGCATATGATTCAATATTATTGACATGTAAAATCTTCCTATATTGACCTACAGATGCTATTGCAACTGCAACAAAAAAATCTCAGCTTTTTAACAGAAAGTGACAAACTGGTTTTGAGTTTCATACAGAAACACAAAATTCCAAACAGCTTTGAAAAAGAATAAAATTGAATACCAAACACTATCTGATTTTGACTCCTTATAAAGCTATAGTAATCAAAAACAATGTGATAGTTTTGTGAGGATAAGACAGATATGGCCACAGAATAGGAAAGTCTTAAAACACACGTATAAGGACAACTATTTTTCACATAAATGCAAAGGTTTTTTTCAATGGGAAAAGGTTAGCTCTTTCAAGAAATGGTGCTAGCTACCCATAGGCAAAAGAAGTTACCTAAGATCGTATTTTTGCATGTACTAGTACAAAAATTAGCTCTCAATAGGCCTAAACATAAAATCCTCCAAAACTTCTAGAAGACACAGGAGAAACATCTTCTTGGCTTTGGCTTTGGTAAAGTTCTTAGAGCAAAAGAGTAACGCAGCCTTAGCCGGTTTGGCTCTATTGATAGAGCATCAGCCTGTGGACTGCAAGGACCAGGGTTCAATTCCAATCAAGGGCATGTACCTTGGTTGCGGGCACATCCCCTATGGGAAATGTGCAGGAGGCAGATGATCCATGATGTTTTTCTCCCATCGACTCTCTAACTCTATCCCTCTCCCTTTCTCTCTATAAAAAAAAATCAATAAAATATATTTAAATTAAAAAAAAAAAAAAAAGAGTAATGCATTGTCTGCAGCACCAAACACCTTCCCATTCCACCTGGACCCGAACTCTGTCGGCCCCGCCCCCGGACTCCTCAGCCCCGCCCACTCTCGGCTCCACCCCGGACCCTCCTGGCCCCACCCCGCTCACTGCGCCCCGTCCACTCCCGGCTCCACCCAGACCCTCTGGCCCCGCCCCTCCCGCTGAGCCCCGTCCACTCCCGGCTCCACCCAGACCCTCTGGCCCCGCCCCTCCCGCTGAGCCCCGCCCCCTCGCGTCCCGGAAGAGCCGCCGGAGCTGCGCGAAGTGGGGCGGTGCGCGGCCCGGCGCCCGTCGGGAGCGCGGGCCCGGCCGAGCCGCTCCTCGCGTCGCGCGTTTCGCACTCGCGCGAGGCCGGCCCTCCGGAGCCTGCGCGCCCCCGCGGCCGGCGGCGTCTGCTCCGGCGGCCCCGCGTGCGCGCCGCGCCCCGCCCCCGCCCCCGCCGGCCTGCTCGCGCTCCGGGCCGGCGGCATGCCGCCGCCGCCGCCAGGTCGGAGCTCCCCGTGGCCCTGCGCCTCGGGAGCAGCGCCCCCCCCGAGTGACTTCTGACGCTGCGCGTTCGCCCGTAAGTGACAGCCGCCGCCTCGCCGTGTTTGTTTTCTCCCCCCCCTCCAGTCTGCTTAGTTCAAAACTGTTCAACTCCTGGCGGGCCGGTGCCCGCGCTGCCCGGGAGCCAGGCCCGGAGCGCCAGAGAGCGGCCCGGGCGTTGGAGGTCAGGGCCGCGTCGGGAGATCCCAGCGTGCGGACAGCGGCCCCGGAGCGGGCGCGATCACGTTTGCCCGGCGGCCCGCGGGCACCGGGCTGAGCGGCGGACGAGAGGGGGCGGGGCCAGAGAGGGGGCGGAGCTCCAGGCAGGTGCGGCCCGCCCAGGCGAGGAGGCGGGGCTCCGTGAGGGGCGTGGCTTCCGGCAGGTGCGGCCCGGCGGCGATTGGACCGGCGGTGTTTCCCAGGGAACCAGCTAGTGGTCCCCACTGACTCACCTTCCTGGTTTTAGTTGTATTTTAACCTTACATAGTTCAATAAGAAACCGGCAAGGGGACTTGAAAGTTACAAAAGAATAAGTGTCTCCAGGGTATCTATCTGGGTGGGTATAACGTTGATCGGGTTAGCAGTCTGCTTAGAAACAATTGATCAGTTTTGCACCGTTACTGAAAGGGAATGCTATTTTAAAAGAAGATGCTCTGTTTAAAAACACTAGGCGAGATTTAATCTGACCTGAATTTGGATCATGGATTCTGTGGCTGCCCCCTGCCCGCCCTGTGTGGAGCTGTCTTTTAAATTGCTACACTTGTGGCTCCACATTTAATATACATTCATAGAATCTTAAAGGTTCTCTTGTAGCCACTCCTGGGAATACAGTTTGTTTGTTTGTTTGTTTGTTTGTTTGTTTGTTTAAGCAAAGGCTACATCATGGAAACACTGTATAGTTTCTTCCCAGATGCTTTGTCTGCTTTACACTTGGCTCAGTGTAGATTACCTAACCCAAATAAATTACTTACCATTGTAGTGGCCCTAATATACATATACTCATTGGTTAATCTCTCACTGGCATCCTGTAGTTGTCAGATTTCTTTAAACTTCTCTTCTGTTATAGAACCTAGAGCAGTCAATGTTAGTTGAATGAAATAAGTCACATTAATGTACACTTGTTCTCCCATGTTCTCTCTCTGTTTCCAAACCAACTAAAGTGTCTTAAATGATCAAGTTTAGACAGTTTATTTGGGATTGTCACCCCATTTAAGTTTAATCCTTTTCTCCGTTGTGTTCCTATTCATATTGCATTTTTACCACTGTTGGTTATATTGATCTTTCCCTTAGTTCTCTGAGGGGATATAAAACCTTTTAACTGTGCTTTTATTTCAAAGCATAGGGCCTTGTATGTGGGAGGTATCTGTGTGTGTACATAAACACAGAATGGGGTAGGTACCCTTTTAATCAGTAGATACAAATTTTAAAAACTCATTACCAGGAGAATAGGATAGGTGATTTAATAAAATATACTGTATATGCTGTACTTATTTATCTAGGTTTTTGGTTTTTTTACTCTTGATGGCTTTTTTTTTTTTTTTTTTTCCCTGAAGCCAATAATTTTCCTGGAACAGAAAAAGAAAATAGGAAATAAATTCACCTCCAAATTGAAATTTTTAAAGCCAGTCTAATAACTATTCAAGTCATAACTGGTGATCAATCTGAATAGTAGTGTATGTTCTGCATGCATGCATGGGTATTCTGTGTGTGTAATTACAGAACAGAGAGAAGCAGAGAGAGGGAGAGAGAGAGAGAGAAAGAGAGAGAGATTCTTCATATGAATAAAACCCAGAAGCAGGATGCTTGCAAAGAACTCTTCCAGGAGAAACTTCAGCCAAAAGACTGGTACTTAAGATCTTATACTTGAGAACAAGTGTATGTGTGGAAATTAGTTAAAGAAAAGGCAAGGATCTTTTAGTACATAATCTAGAGATACTGAGGAAGAAGTTTTGGGAAAAGAAATGGGAAAGACATTGGACTATTTTGGAGTTGGTAATCAGTAACAACATAATTCTTTACCCACTTAAAAAATAATACACTTACCAAATAACAGATAATTTAGATTTAATTAAAATGTAAATTCAGTTAGTATTTTGAGATTATAATGTGACCTAAAGTCAGGATGATTTAGAACCACACATTTTTTGTTAATTTGTGTGTAAATCTAGCAACAAAGGTATAATACACTTCTTTCTTTTTCTCTTTAGTTACCAAGATTCAAGATGAATAGTGATCAAATTGCACTGGTTGGTCAAGTGTTTGAGTCATATGTTTCAGAATACCATAAGAACGAGATTCTCCTAATCCTGAAGGAAGGAGATGAAGATGCTCATTACCCAGTTGTGGTTAATGCCATGACCCTTTTTGAGACCAACATGGAAATTGGGGAGTATTTCAATGCCTTCCCCAATGAAGTACTAACTGTGTTTGATAATTCACTGAGAAGATCAGCCATGACAATTCTCGAGTCCCTTTCTCAGCCCGAGGGTGTCTCCATGAAGCAGAATCTTCATGCCAGGATATCAGGTGAATCATTTAAGAATTTTATTGCCATCTTATTCTCTTTGGAAGATTTTTGAGAAACCTTAACACATATTGAATATATAGTACTAAAAAATAATTGTTATTTGTACTTAAAAATATTTTTATTATGCAGTTGATACAGCACCAGGGGATTTTTCATAAAGCATTTCACAGAAATTTGGAAATAAGTTTGTTTTCTGAGAGTTAAATTGTAAAGGCAACACAATTTACAGAGATATACAAAAATTATTCTAAGCAAAAGTATGGACCCTCATTGGCAAAATATGATACATTCTACGTTAATGTAAATACAGAATATTTTCATTAGAGAGTGGGCAAGTCAGTCTTGGAAGCACAGAAAAAGAAGTCATAGTGGCAAATGTTGGCAGTGTCCACCATGCTTCTATAGTACATAGTATATGGAAGCAAGTCTCAGCAAGCAACAGAGATGTCGAGTATCTGTGGACTTGTAACCTGCAACACTAAACTAATGTAATCTAGTACCTTAAGCATTCAGCTCATCTGGCTAATTTGCTTTAAAAAAAAAAACACACAAATCTCATGCTTCCCAAACAACCTTCTGATTATTATTATATTTGGCTTTCAGAGTAGATATATTCTCAGAGGGAAAATGTGCCAACCATAGATACTTAGAGGATAATAATACCTGTTATAATTATTTCTCATGAGCTTGGCAAATTTGACAGATCTGTTTTCTGTGTGCATGCTTATGAGGTTTTAGAGCTACTAAATTCTGAAGCCCAGGCAACGGACCATGTGACATGAACCAATGTAACGAATGCTACCTTGATAAACCTATTAGAAGGCAGCCTTTGACTATCACAGCCAGCATTGCTCCGCTCCAAAGATGCTTTAGCCAACATGAGAAAGGGCATTTCCACATAAAAATTTTCTTCGGCATTTTGCACTTATCAAGTTGCTTTTTTACTAATGGTGAAAATCACAGGTTTTTAAAAGATAAAGTAATGCTGTGGGTAAACCTCTAGGTAGTTCAGGGACTGGAAACACTCCCAGACTTACATACTAATGAATCCTGACTCTAACTGGAAAAGCAATGGCCTTCTAGCATTGTGGCATTTGAACGTTATGCAACCATCTCTTTATCACTTGGCATTGTGGTTTACTCAAAGAGTAATACATTGATTTTATGTGTGACTGGTTGCAGTATATTCTTTGTTGAATGTAGTTATAATTATATACTGTATTTAGATCCTACTGAGATAGCCCTCTTATGAGAATGAATCCTTTTTTAAATCTTGGTTATTATATCCTCCAGATATGTACTTTTAAAGTGAGTCCACTGATAATTGTTATTTGATAGAATTATTTTCTATTTTCTTGACTCCATCTGATTTTTTTTCTTAAGTAAAACACAGTTTTTTTCCCCCTTGAAATTATACTTTTTTCCTCAGGAAATGTGAGAAAAGTATATTCCATGGAGTCAAATGGGAAGGTTGATGTAGTTTCTTCTTATTCTTCTTATTCAGGTTTGCCAGTTTGTCCTGAGCTGGTGAGGGAGCACATCCCTAAAACGAAGGATGTGGGACACTTTTTATCTGTCACTGGGACAGTGATTCGAACAAGTCTGGTGAAGATCCTGGAGTTTGAGCGGGATTACATGTGTAACAAATGCAAGCATGTATTCGCGGTCAAGGCTGACTTTGAGCAGTATTATACTTTCTGCCGGCCCTCTTCATGTCCCAGCTTGGAGAGCTGTGATTCTTCAAAATTCACTTGTCTCTCAGACTTGTCTTCATCTCCAACTAAGTGTAGAGATTATCAGGAAATCAAAATTCAGGAACAGGTAAATGAGCAAATCAATGAGAAAGTGACAAATTTGTACAAGTATTATTTAGCTATGGGCAAATTGCCAGCACTAGGGAACACAAAACAGATTACAAATGAAACTTATGTCATTATTTTGTAGAAAATCAAGTGTGAAACTGTTGCATGTATATCAGAATTTAGTCTTTAGTGACCATTATATACTAGTAAACATCTTTTTATGTAGAGCATTGGCAAGAGGATTGTGGAATGACTTAATAATTATGCTAAAATTAAGTGAATATTTAAGAAGTTCAAACTGGGTGTTCTTCAGTAAGAGATAGGAGAAAATTAATTGGGTTTAATTGGTTATTAAACATTGGAATGGGCCAGATTTAGGGCATAGGCCTAATTTTTATTTACTATGCCAAATGAGGTATATATAGCCACTCTTTCATACATGAGAGTGAACCTGATTTTTATTTTACTTGCCACTTAAACACAAAGGCTTATTCGGTGTCAAGAATTTAGACTTCTGTCTTTCTACACCATTCTTAACTCATGGTTTTTATTTTTATGGTTGTCTATATTCCAGAATGGCAGCTACAGTTTAATCACATCTGTATCCTAGTCAGAAAACAGAAAAAGGAATATAGACAAAACCACATGCCATGTAACCGAAGTATCCTTTTAAGTAGTCTTCAAAATCTATAACATGTCTATTTACATCTTATTGGCCAGAATTTAGTCATATGACCACACCTAGCTGCAAGGGATCCTGGGAAATTGGGTCTTTTTACTGGGCACTTGCTCAGGTAGAATAAAACCAGGGTCCTGTTTCTAAGGAATAATCAAAGGATCTGAGTGATTTATCCAAGATCTTCTGACTAGAAATCAGGAAAGAACTGCCTCTTTATTTTTGGTATATAATTTTTTATTATGTTTAGTAGTTGGAATTATTTTGACTATCCACAAGGTAGATTATATTTACAGATGTTTTCCAGATGTTGGTGTTTTTATTTTAGTTATAATGAATTATTAAAACTGATAGTATGCACAATTTATAAGAAAAGTCTGTGAATCCCTGTCATAATTAGATTATATTACAATACAATAGAAATATAAATGGTATTTTCAAGAATTGCTAGTCTTCAGTATACTTAGCATATATTTAAGCATATTCAGTATCTGTTTTCTTTTCTTTGCTAGGTTCAGAGGCTAGCTGTTGGAAGTATTCCACGATCCATGAAGGTTATCCTAGAAGATGACTTAGTAGACACTTGCAAATCTGGTAAGAATTAACTTTTTTAGCTTACATAGGAGGTCCTAACATACTGATTTGGAAAAAACAATTTTTATTTTCCCAAGAGTGAGTGTGGAGACTTAATTGCCTACCTTGAGAACAGAGACTGGCATGGAGGTGGGACAGGATAGCAGGAAAGAAGCTGAGCTGGAGCTTAGGGCTCTAGTCCAGCTGCTTATTTTCTAGATGAAGACTTGCCTACGGTCCCTTGGAAAGTTAAGTTACAGAACTGGAATGTGAACCCAGATCAATGGACCTCTAGTCTGGGACGCTCTTCAGTGCATCATAGCTTCGCAGGAGCAGCTTTAAAAATGTTGGTTTTAGTGGGCAACTAGATAAGAACAGAAACAAGGAGGGATGGGCATGAGAGGCTGTGACTGTCAGATGCTGTGCAGCCTGAATGGTGTCTAGAAGAACGGAGGTGACTGTTTCTCTCTACTCTGTGCTGGTCTTCTGTCCTCTGAGGGTCCTCAGGGTTTCCACTAGCCAATTGCCTGAATTGGGAAGGAACTGGAATCAGACTGAAAGAACTCTGGGTGGTTAGCATGGATAAGCCGCGGGAAAGAGATGACAACCAACTTCTATTTGCTGGAAGATTGTCATATAGAAATGGAATTGAAATTACAGAAGAGCTATAATTCAGTGGGCTGGAGGTGCAGGAAGGTAAACTTGACTCAGTATCTATTAATCAGAAGTGTCCAGCATGGGCCTTGGATGATGGTGAGTTTAAGCAGAGGATGTGCAGCATCTTGTTAGCTACTTAGGCCTCATGATTCGAAGATCTACAGTGTTCCAGGCAAATTACAGACTCTCTGAGCCTCAAAGCTGTTCTGAAAATCCGAGGCTCCAGAAGCCTGGTTGTTGTGATGTCATTCTTAGTTCTACTTTGATATTTAGGCCAGAAAGTGTCTTATTTTGACTTTTAAATTTTTGTTTTTATAAAGAAAATGATAGGGAAAAGTGTTATTTAAAAGATAAAGATATTAGCCGAAACCGGTTTGGCTCAATGGATAGAGTGTCGGCTTGGGGACTGAAAGGTCCCGGGTTTGATTCCGGTCAAGGGCATGTACCTTGGTTGCGGGCATATCCCCAGTAGGGGGTGTGCAAGAGGCAGCTGATCGATGACTCTCTCTCATCGATGTTTCTAACTCTCTATCTCTCTCCCTTCCTCTCTGTACAAAATCAATAAAATATATTTAAAATTTTTTTTTAAAAGATAAAGATATTAGAAGGTTTTGTAAATCAGCAGTACCACCAAAGCAGTAAATACTATTCTGTCTTTTGCAGGAACCATGTTTAAATATCATAAGTGATATTCTTAATAAAATGTGGTATGTTTTTTTAAATGGTTATGTCAGTGATAGCTTGATGATGAGAGAGTAAGGGTTGCTTTGTTCAGCTGTTGGTAGAGGGTAAGGCTTAACATTTACATGGCACTGGTCAGCAAAGGGTACAGATCACAGACAGAAGCAGACTGCCTTCAAGGTGATCATCTTCAAGTTTTAATCAAAAACTTTGTCTAGCCAAAGTACTTGATGTTTTCCATATATCAACACAGGTATCCTCATCCATTCTTCTCCCTCACTGTCATCTTTCTATACTGACAGAAGACTCTGGTCTAGAGCTTGAGAGTCTTGGATTTGTAGACTTTCAGTCCCAAACAAAGTTGTCCTCAGAGCTACAAATCTTGCATCAGCTCTCTTTAAGGCTCCAGTTTCCAACTCAAGAAAAGGAGAATGGAAGTCTGTCTCCTTAAGCCAGCATCTTCAGCATCTTCTGTTCCCTGCATTCATTCCCAGGCCTTTCCAGACCATTGTCTGTGAGGAGAAATGAGAGCTTATCCTCTTTCTTAACTGTTATTACAATTAATCTAAAAATTGCCTAACGATTTCCACCCCCCCCCCCTTTTTTTTAACATTTAAGTTAAATTGAAGGTGGGTCCGAAAATGGAAATGATTTCAAAATCTTAGCTGAATATCAGCAGTTGCCTTTCAATTTACCTGCTTTAAATATTTCCCATTTTCTCTAAACCACCCTTTATCTCTAAAAACAGATAGCACAGTTGGATATGTTGGGCAATAGCAGGTATACCTGATCTCTTATGCCACATTCCAGTTCTCCCCTAAGGACAGATAGAAAATGTTTCATTTTTGCCAAATTCCGTCATTTCCCTTTTTTAACCTTCGATTTCTCCAAATGCCTCATTTAGAAAATATTTACTGAGCTGATGTTAAAATGATGAGGCAAACATTGTATGGAAATAAAGGAGTTCATTATCTAGAGTCATAAATAATTCTTTATCAAAAGATTCCCCCATCATCCAAGAATCACCAACTCATAGTTTGAAGTTTATGTCAAATATATTAACAGTTTATAGTTGTCTAAACAGTATACTAAGGAAATAACAGCTTTGATCATGGATTTCCTGCTAAATGGACAAGTCTGTGTCAGAGTACTTTGTTCATATAGGCCTCTAGATTTTAACCTAAATCTGTAATGTCTGGATCAGTAAAGCAGTGCTTACATGAACTTAGCCTGAACATGAAATTATCCTTTGGTAGAGATTTCATCTAACTGAATTCTTTCTAAATAGAAAAAAAGGCTTTAAGGTATTTTTCTTTCACATGTCACTAATAAAAAAGAATGTATGGATGCAGTCTGTCAACAGCTATTTTTTCACTTACCCATAGCTATAAACTTCTGTAAATATGAGAAGACATAAGTGGCATAATCTTTGCCCTTTGGGAATTTGCAGTCTAGTTAGGAACCCAAACTGACATTTCAGAGTAATAAAGTTGGAGGTTATGTGCTGAATGCTGTCAGGGCAGCAGATCTGAGATGGGTCTGACGGGGATGGCTGTAATAGTAAATATACTGCAGAAGACAGAATAGCACAAAGTGACTGGATTGTATGAAAGTAAGAAATTTAGCTTTCTGCAAATAAGATTGTTTATGATTTTTACCTTAGAAAACTAAAATGAGTATTCACTTGGATTGTAACATATATCCCATAATTGTTCTGATGATCACAGAAATTGCCATTCAAAACATGTATATATGAAGACCTTTTAAAGTATCAATTGCTCTACAAATGTAAGGTTAGATTTAGTATAATATTATAATAGCTAATAGTTATTGAGCACTTATATTTCTAGATATTTTATTAATTTACAAACATTATTTGATTTAATTATCACTATAGTCCTGTGATATAAATATAATTATTCCCATTTGTAGGTCAAGACATAGGCTCAGCCAATTTAGGTAACTGCCAATGGTCTTAATCCAGCATCTAGAAGGGTTCAGGAACCAGGACAAGGAGCTGTGCGTAAATTAATTAAGAGTCCAGAGATGAAACATAATTTTGGAAGGCATTATAGGGAGTTAGAGAAGAGTTAGCTAAAGGAACTAAGTTCTTGTTGCAGGCCCCTTGCTTTTTGTTAACACAATTTGTCCTAAGGCAAGGTAGAAATATACACAACAAAGGGTAGAGTTTCATACAGAATCCATTGTCAGATTGGGGAATTTGCCTATGGCTGTTCAGATGTTTGGACAGTAGGTGGCAATAATATGTAGATTGAAATGCCCTTAGTTGTCTGGCATCAGCAATCAATTTATGCATCCTTTTCAGGTTTAGGGAAATGCTCTCAGCCATCTCCAGATGATTCAGCCCTGCTGACACACTGGAATTGGCTTCTGGCAGGTAACTTGCCGAAGGTCACATAACCAGTGAGTAGTGGAGCTGGGATTTGAGTCCAAATCTAATGAGTCAGTGTTCTTGGCCACTCATCAGTACTCCACATTTTCCACATTATCACCGTTTATTGAAGTCAGATTCTTACTAGTATGTGCTATATTTAAAAGTTAAGTTCCTCATTTGACTAAATTAAGAACAACGTAAACATAACCTATAAAATGACTATAGTAGAGGATTGTTCCAATGTGCATATAAAGTTGCCCCAGTTATTTTCATCTACAAAATTTGGGATAGACAATATAGTAAATGATCATTATTCTTGATTGTGTTTGACAACCACCAGGAAGTAGCTTGGAAAGGATTTTAAAAACAAGTGTAAAGCACCTACCGTATTTTCCAGCGTATAAGACGACCCCCTAATTTTACAGTTAAAACATAGGTTTAGGCCTATATTTTCTGTGTAAGACTACCCCCCACTTCCGAGGCAACACCAGTTCTTTTTTTAATAGACCGGCTCTCTGACTCTGGCCAATCTGAGCAGGCTTTTTTTCATTTCAAAATCGTCTTATATACCGGAAAATACAGTATTTGTTATTTATACAGTTGCCTTTGGCTAGAAATATGCTTTCTATTCTGGGAATTGCTACCATTGGTTCCATGCATTTAGCTTTTACAGCATACTTCAGAAAATCAAAAGCTCTGTGGATTACACATTGCATATTGAAATGTAGAGTCTAAGGCATTTTGCAGCAGCAAATATATATTTGACACAGCCTTGGAAATAAAGATGTGCCTGTTAGTTAATTCAGAGATAATATTTTTGTGCAAAATATAAACACCAGGATTGAATTTGGGGTAAGTCCAATATCCTATGTTCAATAAGATTGAAATCTTTGGGGACGAGGATTTTGCCTTTTCCAATGCCAAAATATTGAATGCCAAGCATTCAGAAACATTTGTTATTGATGTATTGAATTGTATGCAATAATAAGTTCAGATGTTAGTGTTGGAGAAGGTGCATATAAACTACCAAGCCCTCTTGGGGAAATCTGTAAAAGTTTACTATCCTGTCCACCACCAATTAGAGAGTTTCCTAAGGTGGAAAGGAACCAAATCAGAAGGAATAAGCAGGGTTGTGTTTTGGTGTTTCATAGTTTATTCAAAGTTTATTTTACTTTATTTTTATGTAGAATAGGTATTCATTCATTCATTACTTTGTTCATTCATTCTTTTGTTCATTAAAAAAAAAAGTGAATACATTAACAATTGTGTTAAGTAAAAATTAATCTATAAATTACTAAAAGAATGTCATCACAAAATTCTTTCCTTTCCCGACAGCTGTTATAGTTTAATCTTATGGCTGCAATTCTCACCTCTTTTTTTTTAAAAAAATATATTTTATTGTTTTTTCATAGAGAGGAAGGGAGAGAGATAGAGAGCTAGAAACGTCCATGAGAGAGAAACATCGACTAGCTGCCTCTTGCACACCCCCTACCGGGGATGTGCCTGCAACCAACGTACATGCCCCTGACCGGAATCGAACCGGTGGACCTTTCAGTCCACAGACCGACGCTCTACCGCTGAGCCAAACTGGTTTTAGCAATTCTCACCTCTTTAAATGAAATCTCTGTGGCTTGAGCATCTGAGAGGATGGGCCTTTCACCCAATATAAAAATAATGAAGAAGTCATCTAGTAAACTATTTTCCCAGTGAAGGAATGATTATAATGTGACAGATTAAGAAAAAATAAAAATGCTGACAGATTAAGAAAAAATAAAAATAAATTTCCTTTTAGTTGTACAGATACAAGTGCCTGTTTTTAACAAAATTAGGAATCTCTGGTGGTTTTTGCACCCAAATTGTTTTCCGAGTGCATGTTGGATGAGTGTAGAGCACTCTAAACCCTGGTCAGGAAGTGGTTTATGTCTTTGTCCTTTGACATGGGCACCTGTGCTCAGCATGCAGAGTGCTACTGCGGGACTCATTTGGTGCTCTTTCCTAGGTGATGACCTCACTATTTATGGGGTGGTAATGCAACGGTGGAAGCCCTTTCAGCGAGATGTGCGCTGTGAAGTGGAGATAGTCCTGAAAGCCAATTATGTCCAAGTAAATAATGAGCAGTCTGCAGGGATCGTCATGGATGAGGAGGTCTGGAAGGAATTTGAAGATTTTTGGGAACACTATAAGAGTGATCCCTTTACAGGTTTGTGATATAAAGCTGATAATTATTAATGGCATTTCATTCAATAGTTAGACATGTTGCCTTTGATTGGGGGTAGCCTTACTTGTCCCATAACTCAGCGACTGAGTGCACAGGGTAGTAGCATCAGTCAGTGCCTCTAGCCACAGCCTCCCCAAAGCCCTTTTCTGGCATGGCCTCCTCTATTTAGAGATCTAGGGGAAAAGGCTGGCTTTCAGGAGGTTTTTCATTTCTAACTATTATAACATCTTATACTGCCAAAAGAGTTTCAGAATATTCTACCTTCTGTACCTTAAGCACGAAAAACTCATCCTATTGTGACACCTTGTCTGACGTCCTTTAAATTATATGGCCATCCTCACATGATTTTAACTGAAGATTTAAAAATAGGAGCTAGGTAGAAAAGAGGATGAAAGATGGAAAGATACAAAAAATAAGCTTTGTCATCACAGCAAAAATTTTGATTATGACACTAAGCTATAATTACATAGATTAAAACATCACAGCCTTTGAGTGTATTGAGTATTTTCAATAAAAAGCCCAAAAGTATAAAACACCAATTAAATCTTCAAATATCTGTTTTCGTTCTTCGTTGGAGGTATCTTCTGAGAAAAATAAATCAAAGACAGTAATAGGCTATTTAAATAGGCTATTATTAAAATTTTTTTTTCTTATTAAAAATAATATATTTTTTAAATATTTCAGAGAAGAAGGGAGAGGGAGAGAGATAGAAACATCAGTGAAGAGAGAGAATCATTGGTCAGCTGCCTCCCGCATGTATTCTGACTGGGAATCAAACCATGACCTCCTGGTTCATAGGTCAACACTCAACCACTAAGCCATGCTGACCGGGCAGTAACAGGAAATCATTTTAGACTGTGGAGTGTGTTATAGGTTAGGGAGAATATTTTCAGTTATGACTTCTTAAAAATTGTTGGCAACTTCTAGTCTTTCTACCTTTTCTAGGAAGGAATGAAATACTGGCCAGTTTATGCCCTCAAGTTTTTGGGATGTATCTAGTAAAGCTTGCTGTGGCCATGGTACTGGCTGGTGGGATTCAAAGGACTGATGCTACAGGAACACGAGTCAGAGGTTAGTACCTATTTAAAACTTTTGAAAAGTTTTCACACACTTAAGGAGAGAAATAAGAATTTGTTTTTCCTGAGTAAAAATTGCTTATTGAGCTTTACTTTCCAAATGTAGTCTTTTAAAGCTGACAGTTGTCTGGCTAATACTTAGCCCAACATCTGTATATCAGTAATTACTTTCTAGAATTCCAAAGTCTAAAATCATAAAATTTTCAGTAAGTTTTTCTCTAACCTCTCAGGGTGTCACAAAATAAAATCTTCACATTTCTATTACTGTGTTTTTCATCAGATCCACCATCTTCTTTAGGAGGGGAAGATTAGAGCTCAGCCAGTGTGGTTCAGTGGTTGAACTTCGACCTATGAACCAGGAGGTTCCAATTCGATTCCTGGCCAGGGCACATGTCTGGGTTGTGTACTCGATCCCCAGTAGGGAGCATGCAAAAGGCAGTCTATCAGTGATTATCATCATTGATGTTTCTCTCTCTTTCTGCCTCTCTCCCTCCCTTCCTCTCTGGGAAGAAAAAAAAAAAAAAAAAAAAAAAGTATTTTTTTTAAAGATTTGTTTAAAAAGAGGAAAAGATTAGAAGTAGTACTTTTTAATGTCACCAAGTCAGCATCCTTCCATCTGTGACTGTCAGTGTGTTTCTCTCAGACTGCTGCTCTCAGTCATCTGCCTGCTGATTCCCCTTCTGCTGGTGGGTTGCAAATGTGTCATCTGCCATTTGGTGCTGCTGTAGGTCACACATTCAGGCAAAGATTACTCTATGTGTGTAATTATGTCCAAGTGGCAGAAAGCTCTTTTGCTGCTACCACACTTAACTGACCTGAATCTAACATAAAGCAGATTTATTATAGTCGTTGTATAGGGCATATGAAAGTCATAATAACCAAAAACTAGACCCAAAAGACTCCAAATATATTAATGTCAATCTGGCAGTTAGTAGGTACTCAAAAACCATGTACTGCAATATAGAATAATAAATGTCATAAGGTTTATGTGTATGGTATATTTTGATCACCCACTATTTGCAAGGCACTCTGCTAAATGTTGTGCCTAAATAGGAGTTTCCTATTAATACATTTAGAAAATACTAAAATATTACTGAAGAAATTTACTTGATCAGTGATATAATACAACCACAGTATATTCATGTTCATTTGTGTTACCATTTGAAAAAGAAGAGTACTTTAAGATAGATATTTCATTAAACTAAATTTTTTTAAATGAAAAGATTTTCACTTAACTGTTGGAATCATAAATGATATATTTATAAAGCACTTATAAAGTCCCACATTTTTCAGTATTTATTTCTTTTATTTCACTTCTTTATTGTTTAAAATATTACATGTCTCCTTTTCCTTCCATTGACCTCTCCCTATCTGCTCCCACTTCCCCACTCATCCCCAGCATTCTGTATTTATTTTATTTTAAGAAATCCTCACCCAAAAAATAAATAAAAATAAAAAATCCTCACCCAAGGATATTTTTCCCATTGACCAGAACGACCAGTGGCTATGACACACACTGCCGCGGCCAACCAGCTTGATCCAGGCCCTGATCGCCGCCCCTACCCCATGGCCAGCCTGGCCCCTGATCAGCCCCCAACACCCTGATAATGGGTGAGCCAGCCAGCAAACTGCCTGCAGCCCCTTCCCCTGGCCAGGCCCACCTCTGATCAGCCCCCAGCTCGAGACTGACCAGCCCAGCCCAGCCCAAAGGGCCCCATCAGGGCTGGCTGGCCAGACTCCACCCATGCACAAATTCATGCACTGGGGCCTCTAGTATAAGTTATAAATTGTGTTCGTTTTCTTTTTGATTAATTATACTTGTTCATAGAAATTTATAACTTGACATTTACTTTTTTCTAGGTGAATCTCATCTTTTATTGGTTGGGGATCCAGGCACAGGGAAATCTCAATTCCTCAAATATGCAGCAAAGATTACACCCAGATCGGTGCTCACCACAGGAATTGGATCTACTAGCGCAGGTACTTTACATGACAATTTCATTTAATGTCACTACAGAAACTAATACAATGGCTTTTTTCTTATTAAAAAGTACCTACAATATGATAAATTTCAAGCTAATTTCTGAGTTGCTGCCAAAAATGGAAGGAAATATGTAGCATTTCTTTTGAAACTCTTAATATTTTAAAAGCTCCACCATCACTTATTTTCCAAAAATTTCTTGTGTATATTTTTGCATCTTAGTTTTGAATGATGCTATTCATTTCTCTCATTATCTAGTGATTATCTTCATACATACTTATGCATGAAAAAGCATGTATTACCTGGCGTTGTTTGAGGGACCCATGAGCAGAATATTGAAATTAATTAGACGGTAAAAATTTTACTTTACGTAGGTAGATGATGTTGCACTTAAGGCGTTTTTATGCTCACAGATCTCACGGAAGCTCCGGTGGAAAATTCTTAGGCGTAAAATGTGTTAGTATGTGAAAAGTGTCTTTTCATCATTGCAGTGCGCAGCTTTATTGTAATGATCCTTCAACAAGTAATTTAAAAACCTTTGCAGATAGGAGATCAAGATTTTATTACAAAGTGACTAAGAAAAATATATTTGAAAAGACATTTGATGCCATTTTGTAATTTTACAGCATTTTGACTGGGGAAAGTTTTCCCCTGTTCTTCTATAATGGGCCTTTGATTTCACATATTTTATAAATGTTATTTACTACTTGTCAGGGCAGCCTAACCCTGTGCTCAGACTTCTTATGAGAAGTATATATTTTAAACTATCGTTAAGCAGCAAATCTCCATTAATGGTCCTACATAATGAGAGCACCATTCTAAGGAGCGCTCAGGTTTGGGCATTAACTGATGGTACATTAAGAGTTGACAAGAAACGATTTGTGACTTGAGAGGGGTGGGCAAGCTTCAAGAAAGGAAGTAGGCAGGAACAGAAAGAACACTCATGAGCATTGAAAAACTCTCATGTCCCAATATTCTAGAGGTTTTTTTTTTGTTTTTTTTACCAAACCAACAAACAATTAAGGTGGCCCCAAGTAATCATGTAGAATTTCTCCTAAGTTAATTATATGCAGTGCCAAGAAATTAGTTTAAGCTATCTTGTAAGTTTCTAGTAATTTTAGAGTATGTGGAAGTTTTAAAGTGAATGGCTACTTTACTGATTCACTATATTAGCACTTTCCCCCTTTTTAAAAAGTGTTAAGATCATAATCCATATATGAGGGGAAAATGACAGGTAGAAAGAATGTTATTTTAGAGCTATAGAAGTTACTGCTACTTATATCAAAAGACCCAGATTTTTCTGTGTAGCACAACCCATTAGAGTTAAAAAAAAAAAAAAATCAATTCATTGAGTCAAAATCAGCACTTCCACAATGAAATCAATGATACTGAATAATCTGTTTATAGTAGAGGTACACTATAAGGGGGGGCATTTTTATTGAAACTGTTAATATAAATATATACTTGTGTTATGGGGTTCATACTTTAAACAAAATGCTTTACCATGGATTAAAGTTTTGAAAACTGCCGCCATAGACTCACTGTAAAATTAGAAACCCGAAATCATAAACCCAGAGGGTAAGACCACATGGAAGCCTAAGGTTTCATAAGGTCATAAATGAACACAGCATCTCCTCTGACTTCCTGCATATCTTCTCAGCTCACAGGATACCCTCCTTCCCTCCGACCTCCCCTTCCATCTCCTCGGTGGCACATTGTTTTTATTTATCTTCGCAGGACACAGCTATTTACTATGATCGAAAAGGGGAAAAATAGTTCTAAAACTTCTAGCGATAATTCATAGTGTCTGTAAATGAGGCTAAATGGGGGGGAGGAGGGGGACTAGTTTCTCAGTTCCTAATGTTTGAATACTAAATTTTCCTACTTTAAATTTCTTACAGAACCATAATTTTTTAAAAAATGTATTTTTATTGATTTTCAGAGAGGAAGAGAGATAAACATCAATGATGGGAGATAATCATTGATTGGGTGCCTCTTGCACACCCCACAATGGGATCAAGCCAGCAACCCAGGCATGTACTCTTGACCAGAATAGAACCTGGGACCCCTTCAGTCCACAGGCTGACACTCTATCCACTGAGCCAAATTGGCTAGGGCATAGAACCATAGTTTTTAATAATAGTTTTAAAGTCTCAAACTTCTGTCCATTTACAATTAAAAAACAAACAAAAACAAAAAAAACCCTAACCCTCAGGTGTCAATACAAACTAGTATTATAATTTATCAAAATAAAAATTTAGCAGTGTGGATCGGTTGGGCATCATCCTGTACACCTGAAGGTTGCTGGTTTCAGTCCTGGTAAGGGCACATGCCCGTGTTGCAGGCTCAAAGTCCAGTAGGAGGCATGCAAGAGGCAACTGATCTGTTTCTCTCCCTCTCTAAAAATCAATTTTAAAAAAATATAAAACAAATACACACAATTTAGCAGTGAAATATAATTAGTAATCTGGCTTATATATGCTTTATTTCTAGTAAACACATATCTTGTCCATTAATCACTGAGCTCTTTGTTGGAAAATACTGCTTTTATTTTAATTTTAATACTTTAACATTTTTTTCATTGCAATTAGACAAAAATAAAAAAAAATTATTTATAGTTGACAGGATGTATTTTATTTTTATAGTCTATGAACTAGTGGATAGTATTATATTTTAATAATCAGGTATATTAAATTTCAAAGTTTAACATTTAGCAAAACTTGCTTCACAAATTCACTTTTAGAATGACAGGAAATATGTACAACTTAGAGTCCATATTTAGACAAATGCCCCTTTTCCTTCCTCAAAATAAAAGCTTTAAAAAGTGTAGTATAGTATAAAAGTTTCAGATATGAAGGCACTGCATAACTCTGAATCATATGGCTGATGTCTTGTTAACAGCAAGACCAACGAGAATATTCTCACTTAAATTAATGGAGCATAAGAAACTTTTGAGGAAGGACCTAACTCTTATCAAAGAAAAAGAACCTTTTTGGCCCATTTAATGAATTCCTTTCCAAGACTGCTTTTAATAAAACTTACCTGGAAAAGCTATTAAGAATATGTCCATCTTATTCTGCATGAGTGTTGGGGATAATGGAGAGAGTACTACATGTGTAAAGATACATTCATTTCCAAAATAGTAACTTACCTGTTATGGTAAAGCTAAATATACTGCCCCAAATCCAGTTTTTTTTATAAATGCTACCAACAGATGGTCTATGAAAGAATTTTAAGGAGTTAAGTTTATAGAATTATAAATCTAATGAACAGATCTAAGTCATTATATTCTCTTGTTCTTAAACTGAGGGAGTTTGTATCTGCTCTCGACATTTTGATTGCATTGGGTAATGATGTGTATGACTCAGTAAGTGTTCTGATGTCCTAAACTCCCATAAAAACCAAACACATAGCCTTTATAAAGAATTAACTACACTTATTATCTTAGAAACCAAAATGAATGCTATCTAACATTACGTGAACTACAATAATAGCTATAGGAGGCTTCAAGATGGCCTGGAAATTCAGATTCTAAAGTTCTTGGTAGCATATAATTGACTTCAAATCCCTTCTTTAAGGACAAGACAAAAAATAATGGAAATTCACCCCTTAAATTAAACCAAACTATGTTATTACATGAAGAAACATTTTAGTTGAAGTGAACTTTGTTCTTTTGAAGGTCAGTAAAATAGTGGTCTAAAGATTATTGTCCAAGAGGCTAAGACATCTTTACAACCTGGTCCAATAATTCATATTTCTTTATAAGTGCTTTAATTACATTTAGAGAAAAAAATAATATATATGATTTAATCAGATTAGTTTCAGAACAAATAAAATAACACATTCGAGAAAAAATTACTTAAAAATAGTTGTATTTATATTCCACAATTTGCTCAAATACTGGTTTTCTTATAAACTTTCTACAGGATGGTTTTTAAACAAATTCTTCACATTGTGTCTTAGTGGGTATGACTTACAGAATTTCAGGGAAATAGTTCTGTGTGTTTTAATAGCTTAATTTGTACTAAAGAGATGGGAGGTGGTCACATGCAGTCCATGTGGGATTCTAACATAACATTTAGTGAGTTTTCTGACGTGGACCATCCCTTTGATGCTGAAGGTAATGCATCTGTCGAAAGAAGTGACTGTAGATTTGGATTACTGCTCTCTGCATCTTCCAGTTTTTCTGTGTTATCTTCCCAGTTAATGTGGAATCTTGTGACTCTGGGATTAGATGCCAAAATGTTCCTTTGAAGCTGTAGGAAGAAAACATATAAACGGTAAACATGAAAGTTAGATCACTGTACACAAACAGGAGCTTGATAGAGTGTTTCTTTATATTAATACTCCACAAGGGCTAAATTCATATACATACAAATGTATACGCCAAAGCATCTAAAAATAACTAATAAAGAAGAACTAGGGCTGCTGCAAAGAAATTATTTAACCTAATGAGAATAAGAACTCATACTATCCAAGAAAATACCCAAGTCCTTAATACTTTCGTTTTTAAAAGGTGAACATTTCAGAGGATGCTATCTAGAGAGATATGGTGTCTCTTTAGTAATATTTTAAGGAAAATGAAAACTTCCTTCAAATATAACCTCTTGTTATTAGTGGCTTCCTACCTTTTAATTATTATGGCTCATTCTTAAAAATAGTATTCTAGCCCTGGCTGGTATGGCTCAGTTGGTTGGTGCACTGTTTCATACACTGAAAGATTGTGGGTTCGATTCCCAGTTAGGACACAATCCTAGGCTGCAGGTTCAGTCCCTGATTGGGGTGTGTATAGGGGAGAGCCAATTGATGTTTCTCTCTCACACCATTTCTTTCTCTTTCCCTCCCTCCATCTTCCTCTCCCTCTCCCCCATCTTCTCTCTAAAGTCAATGAACATATCCTTGGGTGAGGATTAAAAAAAAAAAACATTCTAATTTCTTCTTTTTTTTCTATACAATGTGTAGTGCCATACAGGTAACTAATATATTACATCAATGGAAG